GGCTCGGTGTCTTAGCCTGTAATCCCGCGCCTTTGGGAGGCTGAGGTGAGTGGATTGCCTGAGCCCGCCGGTTCGAGACCCGCCTGGGCAGCGAGACCTCATCTCTACAATAAATCAAAAAATCAGCCGGGCGTGGTAGCGCATGCCTGTAATTCCGGCTACTCGGAAGGCTGAGGTGGAAGGATCGCCGGAGCCCAGCAGGTCGAGGCTGCGGTGGCCGGGAGCGGCCACTGCACTCCAGTCTGGGCGACAGAGTGAGACTCCAACTCAAAAAAAAAAAAAGTTTGTTGAAATAATAATAGCAACAGTGTATTTGGTTACAAGGGATGGAAGGGGAAATATTGGAACAATCTGTTATAAGGCATTTGCACTACCCATGAAGCATAATAGTGTTATTTAAAAGTGGAATTAGAATTAAAATAGTTATAAATGTATATTGCAGACTCTAGGGCAACCACTCTTTTTATTTACTTATTTTTCTGAGTTAAGATATTTATTAGTGTTTATACAATCAAGCTGCAACTACTAATTCAAAAATAGGAGGGTTTTCCCCCCAGTAAGAGTGCGTTCTTTAGCAGGACTGTACTGGAGTAAGAATTCCATACAAACAGAATACATGCCTTAACACAAAAAAAGCAAGGAAGGAATATTGCACATGACACAGAATATTCAGGTAGTTCAACCGAGTTACCTCTCCACCACATTTGTTTTCCATATTTCTTATAAGCATTGCAGTCAGTTCTGCACATGGTGACTCAATGCGGTTTGTGCATCTGGCAATGTGAACACAACACGTGATACAGCCTTCAATTCCAAGAGCCAAGGGACTTGGACTACTGTCTGCTTTTCGATGTTTCAACTGACCCCATGGAAGCCAGTTTCCATGGCCTCATGGAAGCCAGTGCCTTTGGTTGCCGACGTTTTGAATATCAGCCACTATCGGTTCTTCAAGGCAGGTAACCCAAGTGAATTTGCCATCTCTGAGGGAGTCATGGCCAGTTCTATGTCCTGTTTATTTGCAGACACCACTAAAATGGCTTTCCTCAG